ATCACAGGTTATTCATGAGAATGCCAAGCTGCTTGTAGACAAATTATATCAAATTTTAATTTCTCTAATTTGTGAAAAAAAAAATTCCTTCTTTTAACAGCTGAATTAAGTCCATTTATATTCATTGTAATCAGGCCCATCATTTTCTCAACAATCTTCTCCAAAAAGGAGTGTTTAGATTGTTGTTGCCCGAGATCCAAGAGAGTTGGTGGACCAGGGCCCGATTCTAGAACCTTCTAGAACCTTCCCTCTCATCACAAAAGCACTCACTGATGTTCTTCCAGGCATTATTTGAGGCCTGGTATCCCCTCCTCAGCTATCTCTTCTCAATGCTAAATGTCCTCAACTAAAGCTACTCATCCTCTTCTAATGATTGCAGGCTTCTCCCTCAGGTGCTTTCCTCACTGTGGTCAAAGCTCATTCCAGCAGAATGTTGGCTTGTCTCATCCAGCTCTTTGGGGAGGCCCCTTAAACCGCTCTTTACTGGTTCTTTGCTTATAACAGTGTTTTCCCCATAGTATAGTATAAATAGAAGTAAGAAGAATTTCCATGGTTCCTGTGGGCTATTTGAGAGGCCTACAGTCTATGGCCTCCTACCTTTTGGGTGCTGTAAACGCCGCCTCTGGTTCTTGCACTTGGGCTGTCCAAGAAATTGGATGCCAGGCTGCACGGAGGTGATCTATGGATTTCCTTGGCTAGCTGAGGAAGATCTAATGGAGAAGTGTCCAGTTTTCCCCAAATCTCTCCAGCCCTGGCAGGATTTGACTTGGCTTGGGAGAAACCTCAACAAGGCAGTTGAGCTGAAGAATTGTCATGCAGGCAAGAACGAAGTAACTGCTTAAACTCATCCTTTCCACCTCCAGCGCTTCCCTCCTCAAATCAGCAGGCACTGAGTGATCTTGAAACCGGAGCAACTGATGTCTGCTTAGAAATCTGACATCTACGGCACAAGAGCCATTGACTCCTATCTCAAAACCTACACCAAGAAACATCAAGGCGACAGAGGAGAACTCATGACAAGATCCACCTGGAGACATTTCATGACAAAAGAGGCAACAAGGAGGGAGGACTTGCTGTTGCAAATTCACTTGTGAAATCTGGTCTCCGTTTCTGCCTGCAGGAGGCGTGAGAAGATCACTTGATGGCCCATCTTGGAGTCTTTCAGATCTGTTCCAAGCTTGATGTTATATTGCAATGTTAAGCCTCCAGAGGCAGTTTTAACAGCTTGATCTACAGCTGTGATGTCTGCTTCTCAGTTTTTCTGCAGCATTTCCTTTTTGACAATCCCAGCTGATTAAGCCAGCTTGAGAAGGAAGCGGCTGCCTGTCTCCTTTCATAAGGCAGTTTCCTAGTAGTTGAAAAATGTCTCCATCAGTTCTACTGATCTCCCTGGTCTTGAACTCAAGCTCAAGGGCCATTCCAACAGGTAAAACTTCTACTTTATTTCTTAGAATGTTTAAATTACACATCCCTTGCCCTCATATATCTTATTAAAGGCACTGTGAGACACCATAGGAGCATACCTACCATCCTGATCCCATCACAGCTCATCAAGAGGGATCAATGCAGTGTTGGTCCCAAAGTGTTGTGGTTCGCCGGCAGCAGGTGCGGACGGCTGAAGTCTCGGGGAGCGAGGACTCAGATGAGGGGCCTGCGTGTGACGCAGGAATGGGGCCAGGACCATCAGGGAGTGGAGTGCTGCCTCCGGAGAGTGTGGAGGCTGGCAGCAGTGAGGAAGAGGACCCCAAGGAGCCTGTGATCAGTGTGCATGGGCGCAGGACTGCTCAAAGGAAAGAGCAGCTGCAGCAGCACAGGCGACTTGGGAGTAAGGCTGCAAGGTGATGGCCCCTCCCTCAAGAGATAAAAGCCAGCTGAGAAACCAGAGTTCTTTGCAGGAAGCAAAGAAGTTTTTGCACTCAAGCCTGGTGGACGTTCAGAGTATCTTGGTTGGTGTTTGGAGGCTCTTTGTGTTTGAAATATTTCTTAGCAACTTAATCTAGTGTTCTTGGCAGCCTTGCACAACCTTGGCAAGGCTCATTCTTATCAATTAGTTTGAAACAGCCTTTTAACCGGGAAGGAACGGAATTCGTAAAGAATCATTAAAAGGTTTTGCTGTTACCTCTGTTTCACGTTTGTTTCCTTGGAACAAGGTTTGGGTCAGAACACAAATCCAAGCTGGAACCCTCCTCTTCAATGATTCCCTGGAAACAGAAGCTGGAAGCAGGTCAATTATCATTCAAGGTGAGTGGTTTCTTGGGGAGGTGTCTGAAGAGCTGCTCAGTCATCAACCAGGTCCTGGTTGTCCCAAAAGGGCTTTTCCATCAGGAGGCAACTGGACTTTCTTGTTTTTTCTTTTGAAGATGTTTCACTTCTCACCCAAGAAGCTTCTTCAGCTCTGACAGGATGGTGGGGAAGAAGGGAAGGATTTATAAAAGGATGCAAATGACCAAGCTGTCTGCAAGGAATATAAATCCTGAATAAGCTTCTTAGATGAGAAGCGAAACGACTTGAAAAGGAAAAACCAAGGAAGTCCAGTTGCCTCCTGAAAAAGCCCCTTTGGGTCTTGAGGAGGTGGCAGAAAAACCCGCCTCGCCTCCACCTGCACCCACCCACCCGCCACCCACCCCACCCTCGAGGTCCAATTTGCAGAGAGTAGAGCTAACAACAGAGAGGAGCAGCCCATTCCTCCAGACCCACAAACTTCAAACTAACGCCAGGGAATATTGCAAGATGCGGCTTCCGTCATCTTAACTGGACTTGACAGCCGGCGTCTCACTCCAGGTGATTCTTATCCTCCAGACACGGGGCAGCTTCTTTGATCAGCTATGCAGGAGATTGTCTGGCCCAGATTTTTCCAAAAAGGATCATGGGACTTTAAACAAGTTGTTAGAGAGCTATTCATAGATTCCAGAGGAGCAGGGAAGTAAGCCCCCTCATCAGCCTTACTACTTGTCCTAGGTTTCTACTTAAGCTCTTAGCGAAGTCTGCTTAGGTTCCTTCTTTGCCTTATACCAACTTTGCCTGCAAGTGTTTTGCCTGCCGCTTCTCCTCCCTGGCCCACTCTCGGTGTCCCTCAGCAGGTCGGATCAACTGCTTGGGACCGCTCCGAGGCAGACGCCGGTTCCAGAGTGCGTAAGGCAGGTCAGGGATCCCCTGGGGACCCACCAACACAGGTTCTCCCCTGGGTCTGGCAGCTCCAGATCCTTTTAGCAGCCCAGCAGGGAAGCCAAAAGGTGATGATGGAGGAGGGGCTGGAAGACAAGACCCAAAGAGTGGGTGCTCTTCAAGAACAGCCCATCACCCCGAGAATTTTCCTCCTTGCCCCCAATGCCATCTTCTTTATCCCACCTCCTGCTCATTCTGTGCCACAGCCAGGGTCCCTTTAGGCCACCCACTCCCACAGTCTCCCTCAGGCTCAGGGGGCTTCTGACACCAGGTGCCCCAAGCCCAGCAGCACCCTCCCCTCCCCCAAAACCACCCCCACACACACCCCTCCAAAACTCTTGCTCTTATTCCCGTTTCCTAATTTTTGCAATGTTGACTCTCCTTCCTGGTCAGAATTTTAAGCATAAGCTCAGTTTAGTTCCTATCGTCTTTCAAAGTCCGTATTATCTTCTTCTTTTGACTTAAGGTCCAACTATTTTCTTAATATGTGAATTAATGTAGTTTCTGGCTTAACACGTGTGAATTGAGTTATCGTGATTTGTAAGCAGTGGCCTGTGATTTGTAAGCTGACATTAGCTCAGTCTCTGAAAAAACACAGAATAAAGGGCCCGGGGGCTAAACTGTATGATGGACAGCAGAGGGAAGTAGGTAAGTCTACTCTGGCCTATTGAAAAGAAGGACTAGCTGTGACGTGATAGTTGTCTTCCAATGTTTGAAGAAGGACTATCCCAGAAAAGAGGCAGTCAGCCCGTCCTCCAAAAGCGCTTGAGGGCAGGACAAGAAACCATGGAAGCTTATCGATGGAAGTTTATCAAAGAGAGGTCCAGCCTAGAATTAAGGAGAATTTTTCTGAATGAGAACAATGAATCCATGGAGTAGCTTGCTCCATCGCTGGAGCCTTTTAAAAACAGACCTTTTGACTGGGATGATATAAGACTTGAGCAAGGGGTTGGACTAGAAGACCTCCCAGGTCCCTTCCAGCCCTAGGATTCTATGTCCTGAGACACACAGTGGATGCCTCTTCCCAGCTGCAGAATTCCCATGGCCTCATTCCATCTTGAGAGGCTGCCCTGCAAAGCTCAGGTCATGGGTCATGGGTCAAAAGGTTTTCACGGCTGCTTATCTCCAGAGGAAACCCCCCTCCCTGCTTCAGGACAGGAGTCTCCAACCCTGGCAACTTTAAGACGTGTGTGTGTGTGTGGACTTCAACTCCCAGAATTCCCCAGCCAGCTGTTCCAATCTGGAATCCTGCGAGATGAAGTCCACACGTCATAAAGTTGCCAGGGTTGGAGACCTGTGATTTAGAAGGGTGGGAATAAAGTGCTTTTAAATGGCCAGACATAATTTTCTTTATTTTTGTCAACATGGAAACCAAATTTATTTAAATTCTCCACCCATCAGCAACTAACGACACTGAGTGAGCAGGGCTAGGCTGGGGTGGGGGATATTACTTGACATCATAAGTAAATGCAGGTTTTGGACAAAACTGTTGAAAAATGTGGTCATGTGACTGCAGGATGCTACAAACAGCTGTAAATGCAGCCTGGTTACCAGGTGTGACCACATGACTGTCAGAACTTTGACACCCCCCCCCCAGGTACTTATATAGTAACTTCAAACGGTCACTAAACAGCCAGTTATAAGTCGAGGACTATCTGTATCCCACTCTCTTCCCCAGAAGTGTTTCTTCAGAGGATCCAGAAACATGGACCCTCCTCCTCTTCTTCTTCCTCCTCTCCACCATCTGAACGCCAGGACAAGAAATTGCTTCAAAAGGGAGACTAGGAGAGCCCTGATTCCGTTATCACCAGAACATCATTATTGGACATATTTTATTTAAACACTCAAAACGCGAAATCCGAAAGATGACAAATTCCAGACCACCACATGGCACACATTAAAATCCCCACGTTTTAGTATTTACACAACTGGAGCAAAACTACAGTAAAATTCTGGTGGGGAGAATGAACATCCATGAACATCCTCTGGGGCTCATCCCCCTTTGTGGGTTTTCCAAAGGCAGCCATCCAAACGGGGGTCTCTGCTGGACCCTACAGGAATCTCTCTCTGTCCAGGTACACAAACTGCGTAAGGATTCCGGAAGAGCCACACTCCCTTTCCAGAACTGCCTCAGAGAATAGTTGTAAGACACAGAGGTAAGAAGAGCCCAATTCTAGCAGAGTTTGGAAAAGAGGGAGGAGAGGTAGGTTGTTGGGGGGGGGTCCGACAGTGAGACTCAAGTCCACGTCAGCGACCGACAACAAGGACCTGATCTCCTGGGAGACTCCTAGGCCAAGGGGGTCTTCCTCAACCTTAAACACCAGCAGTTCAAAGTCAAGCTGGACCAGCAAGTTGCATTTTTACAACAGGCACACACACACACACACACACACACACACACACACACACACACGGAGTCACCAGGGAAGTCCCTCTCCTTACAGACTCAGGGGAGAGTCGAGCTGAGGCCAGAGGTGCAGGCCAGGCCGGTCGCTAAAGCCACCTGCAAGGTTCGGAATCGGTCCCCTGGGAGCCCCAGGGACTTTTAAAGTCACCCAAAGGACTTGGGGTCATGTGGGGGAAAGGGGCCTGTTTTAAAGATGCATCCCGCCTGAGGCCATAAGAGCGGAGACCCTCCGGGGGCCAAGGGGTCCGGGGCTCTCCCTCCAGTTCTTTCAAGGCCAGGGGGGCTGCTGCCTACCCTCCAGAGGGGCAAAGAGTTGGGAAACTCCGCAAGAACCTCCAGGGGCTGTTCAGCAGCCTCCTTCATGCTTCCTCCTCCCCCCCCCCCGCTCCCCCAAATCGGTCAGCGGCTTCCTAGGCTGCTGAGGAGCAGCCCCTCCCTCAGGAGAATCCAGGGCTGGGCAGCCTCCGGGGGTTGGGGGTGGGGGGCTCAGCTGCAGCCAAGGGGTAGCTTCAAGCAGGATGGGGAAACGGTGGGTGTGCAGGACGCAGAGTGAGCAGACCGGGGCGCCTGGTGGAGGAGCTGGCCCCTCCCCCCTCTGTGACGCTTTCCCACCCCAGGTTAGATGTTCTGGCAACAAGGGGTCTGCCTCGCTTCCTGTTGGGTGGGCAAGACTTTGATGGGCTCGATGGTGGTCCCGTGGCTGAACTCTGTCTCAGGCTGCCCTCCTGCAAGTTGTCGCTGGGATACGATCCGGTAGATTTCTGGAGGAGGAGAAAAGAGAGAGGAGGCCAAAGGGAGTTAGAAGCTCATCTCGGCGTTGAGCAGAAGCAGCCATGAGAGGAAAAGACAATCAATGCTAAAAAATAACTTTGGTCCAGAGATCCCACAAGACCGGCCGAGTTCCCTTCTGAAGTATATTAAGTGCTGCATCGTTGTAATTAGCGTATCCAGTGGCCCTGCCCGCATTGTGTCATATTCTCACAGCAAAGGGAGTGTCCTTAAACCCTGGTGGAAGCGATTCCTTCTCCTTTCCGTGTTTACACACTGAGTAGTCAGAACACAGGGATTTCCAAAAGCTTTGATCTGGCACCTAGCAGAGGGTGGGGTTCAGGTGACTTCCTCATCTGCTGGGCTACACAACTTCCCCTTTATTTTATTTTATTTATTTATTTATTTTGTCAAGAGCTTACAATATAACAGAAACAAGAACCAATATAAGTTTAAACACAAGAAATAGGAACTAATAATTGGGGACAATAGGACAGGGACGGTAGGCACGATTGTGAGCTTATGCACGCCCCTTACAGACCTCTTAGGAAGAGGGTGAGGTCAATAGAGGTTAGTTTGAGGGTAAAGGAGTGGGGGGGTTTGAGCAGGTGACCACAGAATCAGGTAGTGAGTTCCAGACATTGATTCCTCTGTTGCAGAAATCGTACTTCCTGCAATCAAGCTTGGAGTGGTTTACATTGAGTTTATACCTGTTCTGTGCTCTTGTGTTGTTGTTAAAGCTGAAATATTCATTAACTGGTACAACGTTGTAACATATGATTTTATGTACTATGCTTAAGTCTAATCTTAGACAGCGTAGTTCAAGATTATCTAAGCCTAGAATCTCAAGCCTGGTGCTGTAGGGTATTCTGTTGTGAACAGAGGAGTGTAGTACCCTTCTGGTAAAATACTTCTGGACTCGCTCAATTGTATTTATGTCTCATATACAGTGCGGATTCCAGACAGCAGAGCTGAATTCAAGTATTGGTCTCGCAAAGGTTTTGAATGCCCTAGTTTGCAAATCAGTATTACCAGAGGAGAAGCTTCGTAAAATTAAATTTACAACTTTTAAAGCCTTTTTGGCAATATTGTTGCAGTGAGCTTTGGCGCTTAGGTCATTCAATATCAGAACTCCAAGGTCCTTGACAAAGTGAGGGTCGTCAACAAGGTCATGTCCGCCTAGCTTGTATTTGGTATATAGATATTTTTTTTTACCAATGTGTAGGACAGAGCATTCGTTGGCAGAGATTTGGAATTGCCAACTGTTAGACCATTCAAACATATAATCAAGGTCTTTTTGAAGGACGGTAGCATTGACGGTGGTGTTGAATAGTTTTACACCATCAGCGAAGAGGACGCAGTTGCTAATAAGGTGATCACAAAGGTCATTAATCTATAGTATAAAGAGTGTGGGTCCTAGAACACTCCGCTGATAACTGGTGCAGGGTTTGATAGGGCATTTCCTATTTTTACTATTTGTTGCCTATTTGACAGGAAGGCAGCAATCCACTTGTGAAGGGATCCAGAAATGCTGTAAGAATTTAATTTTAATAGTAGTTTGTCATGTACCACTGAGTCAAATGCTTTGCAGAAGTCAATGTAAATTACATCTATTGATTTACCCTGGTCAAGAAGTGTAGGCCATATGTTTTTGCAGTGTAGAAGTTGCAAATTGCAGGACAACTTTTTTCTGAAACCAAATTGTTTATTGGACATTAAGTTGTTTGACTCTAGGTGGAAGGTAATGCATTAATAATTGATTCCATAGATTTGCACGTGACGCAACACAATGAGATTGTTCTTTTGTACTGCGTTGGCCTTCCTGAAAGGAAAGTTTGAGTACTGCAGAATTAGGGAAGAGGCCACCTGTCCTGAAGCCTGCAGAGGCTCTGAGACTCCCCTACACAGAGGAGGAGGAGGAGAGGCTGCTTAGCACATGGTGTTCTGTCCTTGCATGACGTTTTGAAGTATAAAACAGCCTAATGAAAGGCAGTCGTGGAACACCCAAAGGCCAAAAATACAAACCTGTACAAAGGTAGAATAAGCCCCTCTTCGCTTGACCTATTTGCACCTGCTGGGTAAATGCACCCTGGGTGAAAGGTTGACCAAGCCTTCCCAAAACCCTTCTTGCCCCAACGTTAGTTAGGCACAACTTCCTCTAAAGCTGTGTTTTGTGATGGGTGGACTTCAACTCCCAGAACTCCTCCCAGCCAGTTGAAATCCATCCATCTTAAAGCTCCTGAGATCGAGAGAGACGTTCAAAGTGAGGCCTCTATGCCTGCCCAGGCATTCCCAGGAGGAGGTTCCCAGGTTTGTTTTGGACCCTGCCTCCACCGAGGGGATATAGGAGTTGACTTCCATATATTCCCCCTGCAAGGAACCCTCCGCCAACCTTTCTTGGTGCTCGTGACATCCCAGGTGGGTCTGCCTGCCTGCCTGCCTGCCTGCCTTTTGCCGCTCCCAAATCAGAGCACAACCTGTGTCCACCCAGGTTGGGTGTGAAGGGAAATTGGACATACCTGCCAGGATGTTGTGAAAGGCTGTCTCCACGTTGGTGGAATCCAGAGCCGACGTCTCAATGAAAGACAAGCCATTCTTTTCTAGGGCAGGTGGAGACACATAAAGAAACCGCCCGTCAGAGACGGTCCACCCACTGTCCCTGTGAAATGCTCCATCCAACCCTCATGTGCCCCTCAGATGCCAGGCGCCCCATTAAGTGCTGAGACTCAAAACCCAGAAATACCGGAAGTGCCAAAACGGGCCCGTTTTTCAGCCTCCCGAGGCTGCAGAGGCTTCCCTTGAGCCTCCGGGAAGGCGAAAACGGCCTCAAATGGGCAAAAAATCAACTGGGAGGTGCGCGCATGCGCAGTGCAGGGGAGGGGGTGGGGAGGGTGTTGTGCACGCATGGGGGGGGGGGGCGGGGCGCATTGCATTGTGGGTGCTGGCATACGTGTGCACTTTCGGCACACCACCACAAAAAGGTTCGCCATCACTGTCCTAAAGTAGTCCTTCATTTTTAAAGACAGCGAGGATTGTATGTCCAGAAGACACAATGTTCAGAATGAGGATCCAGGAATCTTAGAAGTGTCTCTTTAGAAAATTAAAAAAATGCACATGTTTATCTCCCAAAGTTATAATTCTCCCTGGAAACTTAGTGTGCAGACAAGGGTTTTTAAGTGAATTAATTCGCCCCTCCCCCTAATTTTAAAATGAATGAAAAAAACCAGTGACATCTTCACAACCCTGGGCTTTCCGCGTGCCTCCAACGGCCAACAGACTTAAACCCAGTGCTCCTTCTGTACAGCAGGACTCGCGGAAGGAGCTGTGGGCCCCTGGCCGAGTCTGTCCCCACACTGACCGCTGCAGGCCCCCACCCCCTTGCTCCAGGCCCAGGAAACGCCTGGCCAAAACCCTTGGAGGGGCACCCAACCCCGTGGACCCAGAGTCTGACCCAGCCCCCCCCTGAGGCTCTCCCCCTTCAGGATACGAGAGGGGAGGAGCCGAGGGCTTAGCTAATGAGCGCCTTTAAGAGCACGGATGAGTCGTGATGAGCCCAGAGTCCCTTCCTGTGGCCAAGAGGGACGGACGAAGGGATCTGAGCTAGCAGAATCCTCCTCGGGGGAAGGAAGGAGGGGCTCCTCCACGGGCTGGCAGCCTTACCTGCAAAGCTCTTGGCCTCGTCCGTGGGCACAGCCCGCAGGTGTCGCAGGTCGCTCTTGTTGCCCACAAGCATGATGACGATGTTGGCGTCTGCGTGGTCCTGCAGCTCCTTCAGCCAGCGCTCTGCGTTTTCATAGGTCAGGTACTTGGCGATGTCATAAACCAGAAGGGCACCGACCGCCCCTCGGTAGTAGCTACAGCAGGGAGGGGAGGGGGGGGTCACTTGCCTGCAGAACCAGACCTTCAGCAAGCTCTGAATCCCACCACCCACGGGAGGCCCCCACCCCAACGTGGCCTCTGTTCTTTCCAGGGGGCCACAGGGCTTTGCGCGTAGATGGGAGGACATCTTGCTAAGCCCACAGAATTGGCCCGATTTAACTGCCATTTCCAGCATCTGATGATCGGGTGGCCGCAATTCATGGTATTTTTGCCCCCCCCCAAAAAAAATGGCATTTACTTCCAGTTTCTAGCATGGCTGGTTGGGGAATTCTGGGAGTTGAAGTCCACCCAGCTTAAAGGTTGAGAAATACTACCCTAGATGGATTTGTTCAGCTCACCTGGGCTCCCAAGCAGGACGACTGAGCTCCGGGGATTAGAGGCTGGGAGCCACTCTAACTTTCCCATTGGAAAAGGAGACCCTGCCTGGCCAAGGCGCCCCCTCCCCCTCCCCCACGGGCACCTAGGGGCAGCCACCCAGTCTCTTACGCAGAAGTGATGGCCCGGTAGCGCTCCTGCCCAGCCGTGTCCCAGATCTGAGCCTTCACAGTCTTGCCGTCCACCTGGATGCTGCGTGTGGCAAATTCCACCCCAATGGTGCTCTTGCTTTCCAAGTTGAACTCATTCCGGGTGAAGCGCGAAAGCAGGTTGCTCTTCCCAACGCCCGAGTCCCCAATGAGGACTACTGCAAAGAGGCAAGGGGACTCCGGTTAATTAAAATACCCCCAGAACCCTGTGAAAATGATGTTTTTTTGCGCTTCCTTGGCTTTGGCTTTTGTGAAGGTGGTTATTTATCTCATCCCCCTTTCTGAATTGTTTTGAGCCAAAGAACAGGCCAGCCTTTACACCAAGCAATTTGACCTCAGATTTGACAGCCAAACAATAACAAAATTTGAGCATTTGAATCTCCCAGAATAGGGTGAGGGAGATAGAAGTTTCTACGTATGAATGGAGGGAAGTACTTCATATAGATCAGGGGTTCCCAACCTGTGGTGCTCACACCCCCTGGGGGTGTGAGACGATATTCCAGGGGGTGCAAGAAAAGTCCAGGTAAATAATAGGATATTGGCTATATGTTGGCATTTTTATTTATTATGCAATGGATTAACTTTGTTTTCATTTTAGAGTTAAGTATCGTTATTTAGTGGCCATCACATACATGGCTGAAAAGATTCAATCCTACCATATACTTAATGCGTTCAGTAGTTCCTAAAGTCTAAATTTCAGGGGGTGCGAGGTTCGAGTGAAATTTCTTTAGGGGTGCTGGGTGAAAAAAAGGTTGGGAACCACTGATATAGAGGAATATAGTTGATATACATACATACATGATAGAACATAGATGATGTAGAATAGAGATAGGATATATTTTTATTGATCTCAAAATGGCCGCTTGAGAATAATATAATTCACCAGCCCAACAGAACAGAGGGCAGCTGGGGTTTATATTCATCCCTAAGTTTCAGGCTGGGTTCTTAACCCCTTACTCTTGTTAAATGATGCAACAGTTCCCTCTGGATTAAGGGTCTTCAAACTTGGCAAGTTTGTGGACTTCAACTCCCAGAATTCCCGAGCTAAATGATAGGAGGGGGAATTCTGGGAGTTTAAGTCCACCCAGTTTTAAAGATGTCAAGTTTGAAGACCTCTGCCCTGGACAGAGAAGAACATGCCTCCCCTTCATCCTACACCTGTTAAGCAGCACTATGGATCCAGAGAAAAAAATGCAGCTCACAACAGCTTTACAGTAAAATGCACTACACCAGGGGTCTCCAACCTTGGCAACTTTAAGACTTGTGGACTTCAACTCCCAGAGTTCCTCAGCCAGCAAAGCTGGCTGAGGAACTCTGGG